GTTCAATAATAGTAGAGGGACCAATCCTGCCAAAAAATTACAAATTTACTATTCCTAAAGTTGCATTCCTTTAATATATATATATATATATATATATATATATATATATATATATATATATATATATAATAATTCTTTTTTATAGAAACTAATTAAATTATTCATTAACTCAGCAATAAGATTGTTTTAGAATGAATTTGTATCTACATTTTTATGTATGGATCCATGTTTTGTTTATGGAACCACTCATTTGAAATACAACAAAGTTGCATGGATCATAAAGAACAAGAGTGTATTCTACTAGAATACACTCTCATTCTGTTGTAATATACTCTCATTGTTCTGGAATAAACTTACATTCTACTAGAATATACTCTCGTTCTCCATGTTCCAGACAACTTTGTCATATTTTGAGTAAGTGAGTTATGAAACAAAATATGAACCCATATATGAAAACATAGATGCGAATTCATTCTAAAAGAACATTATTCCTGATATGAATACGAATTTAATTAGTTTCACTAAAAAAGAATTATAATTATGGATATCATTTAATATACATATAATTATGGAAATCATTTAATATATATTTTTATTTGACTAAATAATAATTTAATTTTTACTAAATTCTTATTGGTGTATTCTAACACACAATAGATATGAGAAACATTTGAACGTAGATCTCTCTTTCTCTCTCTCTCTCTCTCTCTCTCTCTATATATATATATATATATATATATATATATATATATATATATATATATATATATATATATGTGTGTGTGTGTGTGTGTGTGTGTGTGTATTTAGTAGGAAGGTAAGAAGTTTTTTCAACATATTTTTTGATGAAAAAATAAATGAATCACTAGATGAATCAAAAATAACATTATCCAAACAAAAATTCCAAAAAAAATATCTAGATGATTCATTTTTATAATGATTTTATTGAAATTTACTAAAATTGGTATAAAAGAAAACTTACTCTTGATTTACTTAAAAATAAATCATGTACGTGCTTTTTAAGTTATTTATTTATTTATTTATTGTTTTTTTATTAAATTATTTTAGTTTTTAATCATCTAATTCATTTTGTTTGTTTTCTAAAAAAATATGTATATAAAAAGTTTCTTACATTCTAACCAATTTTTTATTTCTTATTTGATCTTGTTTCTCTCTATATATATATATATATATATATATTAGAAATAAAAGTTTTGGTATGAAGGTAACAAATTATTTATATACATATTTTTTAACAAACAAACAATGAGTTATTAGATGATTCAAAACTAATATAATTTTGAAAAAAAATTCTTAAAAAAGCACATACATGATTTATTTTTAAGTGAATCAACAATAAATTTATTTTTATGGCAATTTTAGTAAATATAAAAAAAATCATTATAAAAATGAATAATCTAGATGTTTTTTTCGGGAATATTTTTATGGATCGTGTTAATTTTTTTTATTCATATAGTGATTCATTTGTTTATTTCCGCCAAAAATATATATAAAAAAGAACTTCTTTTACATTCCTTCCAAAAAAATTGTTAACTTATTTATATATATATATATATATATATATATATATATATATATATATATATATATATATGAGAGAGAGAAAAGATGGACTTCAATAGAGAATCATTGTTCACTTCAAGAAAATTGGCATTAGCAGCGACGCATTTAGAGGCGACAGCCACCATTAGCGGCGACATGTAATTGACGCGTTATATGTCGCCGCTAATGGTGGATGTTTCTGCTAAATGTCTCGTTGCTAATAGTGACATAATGTCGATCTGCTGTCAAATGAACCATGTTTGTTTCGATCTGCTTATAATCTAACAGTGTGAAGTCAATAAAAAAAGGCGTTAACTACGGCACTGGTAATTTTTGGAAAGTACAATGCTCTTTTGAGATGTTAATATATTTTGTTTTCTAAATGCTGCAAACATTGCTAAAGGATCCGACTATTCTATGGTACTGGAAGACTGGTTTCGCTCATTTCCGCCACGAAATGATAACGAATGAAAAATCGGAGTGATGAGAACGAGTAGCTACTTTGTTATGATTTTATGAAATATTTTGTTTGAGTTAATATTTTGGATATATTACCCTTTGTTTGAATGAGTATTTGGACCGTTTGTTTATCGACTAATATTTTGGATTAATATTTCTACAAATTAAGTTTTGTAGCAGTTTGTATACATGTTATAGTTGCTTTTATAATTTAATGTTACATTAAAAATAAAGGAAAATGTTTTAGCGGCAACACCTTTGTATTAGTGGCGACACGTAGTATTAGCGGCGACAGCGCATTAGCAGCGAAATGTAGTATTTGCAGCGACAAATTGAGCAATTTCGACGATGCAACAGTGACAACCCTTCTGCAGCGACGTGTCGCCGCAAATAGCTTTAACCGTACTCTTTAGCGGCGACGCATGTCGCCGCTAATGCTCACATTTCTTGTAGTGATTAATCATATAATCAAATAACCAAATATTTTTTTCAACTTTGAAGGCTTATTTTATTATTAAAAACAAAAAACAAAAAAAAAAATACAGAAACTCATAATTTTTTTTTTCAATGACATCAGATTCGATAATTTTTTTTTCATCAAATTCACATTATACAGATTTACAATGTAAATCTTAATTCACATAGTGAATCCGAAAACATATAATTTATTTTTTAGTATTTATAATGTGAATTTATGAGTCTGGAAAACAAGGGAAGGCTTATGCGAATATACACATAATTTTTTTTCATTAACATCACATATTATATTATATTATATTATATATATATATATATATATATATATATATATATATATATATATATATATATATATATATATATATATATATATATATATGGACTTTCTTTCTACAACCACCCTATTAAACACAAATCTAGTATATACATAGCTTAATCATTATTATTAGTAAAATTCATTATATTATTAGGTACTTTGTTTTCTGAAAAAGTAATTTTATTTCTTTTTTTTTTCTCTATTTCTCTCTCTCTATCTCAAAAACTTTTTTTTTTGTTTTAAATTTCAATATAAGTAACATTGCAATTATTAATAGTATTTTTTTATTTTTATAATATCAAAACAAACTTTAGAAATAATTTTTTTTGAATTCAGGTATGTGAGACACATAAGTTAAAAAAACAAAAAAAAAAATATTGTAAAAAAAAAAAAAAGAAGTCGACTTAGATAAGATTTTAAAAAAAATGTGATTGTTAATATTTTTTATAAAGTATCATTTAAAATAAAAAGTTAATAAAATAATATATATATATATATATATGCAAAAACAGTGGATCTTGCAAACTGTGTGAAATCTTGAAAACTGAGTTCCAATCCTAGAGCTAGTCAAAGGTGTGTCGGTATTGTCAAAAAAGTTTTTTCCTGAAAATTACGTTCGTGTAGAAAAGTAATCTCGTATACTATATTTAAAAGAAATCAGGAACGGTTAACTTTTTGGGATTCAAAGTTTGCCACAACAGAAGTTGATAATTTAGTCCCTGCATTAGCTTATGGAAGACGACATTTTGTGGTTTCGCTTCTCAGATATCTCTTACGTAAATGGTCCTTGATTGTGTTAATTTTCTTACTTTTGGTGTTAATTTATATGAGTTTTGCTATTATGCATTCTTATTTATTTAGTATGTTATTTTATATATTTGCCATTAATTAGATCAATGATTCCTGTATTTTTAAGGTTTTCTTATAAAAAAACTCAAGACGAATCCGGAATAACCTACTAGTTTATAATAATTTTGTGAATATATTTTTGAGATATAAATGGCTTTCTATTATGAGATAAATATGTAATTAATTATGGTTATTTCTGATACAGTAAATTACAAGAATGGTCCCTATGGTTTTGGGTAATTTATGTATTTGATCTCTAACTTATTTTTTTAATTCGGAAGGTACCTACAGTTTGTTTTTTTGTTACACGGTTGGTCACTACTATTTGTTTTTGTTATGTGTTTGGTTCTTATCTTATTAAAAAAGATTATTATTTAAATAGAGAAAAATTATCCCTTTATCGGATAGGTACGATAAGGTGACGGGGTGTGATTGGGTCTCTTTATTTATATAAATTCAAACATTAAAGGAAAAATAGTATTTAATTTACTCTTTGTGATACAATGATACTACACCCTACATTTTGTCGTTACCCAAAAAATAAATATTAAAATTTTATGCATGAAGTCTTCGGTCATGTAATTTTGGCGTGGTCTTTTTCTCTTCTTTATGCAGCATGGTTCCTGCATGTCCGTTGTTTAGGCATGCAGTGGAGTTTCACAAAATTTATTAGTTTATTATATACTATTTGATATCATGCTGGTAATAATTATTGTTAAGAATAGAGAGTTTTTATTTTTTTATTTTATATTTGAATTTGGAAAAGATACTCTTAATAGATGCATTTAATTGCCGGTTCCAAAAAAAAAAAAAAAAAAATGCATTTAATTTCATTAGGTGAACAAGGGAATGTTTCATGCATCTTGTGTCTATTAGTTTGTAACATACGCGTCGTATCCGTGTACGATGCCCCAAGCATAAAATAGTATCCAGGGTATGGATTCTGTATGGTAAACAAAACAAAAAAAGATAAAACACTATAATTACCCATTGTAAAAAGGGAAAATGAACTTTGAAGGTAATAAAATATTCGTCTTGTATTCATTAGGTTCCTTATCTTTTTTTTTTTGTGTTTATTATACCATTGAACTTGTAATCCCTGTTCACCAAAGCCACCGTGACCGGTTATCACCTGTTTTACCGGTTACCACATTTAATTAGAGATGACATGTCTTATTACGTGGAATTAGAACACATTTAATTACCGTTTCTCTTTCACCCGTTTGTCCTTACAGTTAGGGTTCTTTTTAATTGAGGGAGGAAAAAGTTCAATCGAAGCATACGGTTAGGAAATTGAAGACAACTGGTGAATGCGAGTGTTATAGTGAAGAAGATGGCCTCCGATTCCAAACAAAGTAAGTATTTAACAGTTTATTTACATTATAATGGTTTATTCGCACCAAAACCATTAGTGTACTTGAACGCTGTTGTTTCAATCTGTGATGTCGATTTTGGTGCAATGGATTTCAAAGACTTTAACTTGTTCATTGCAAAGTTGATTGAAGGTAGTTGTGATAATGTATATTATTGCACTAGAAATGAACCATTGGCAGAGGGTATTAGGAGAATTACGAATGATGCTGACTACTTTGAGTTTATTGAAACGGGTTATAGTGATGAAGCCGGTCTAAGAATGAATGTGTATATAGACCACGAAAATGAACCTGTACTTGATTGGGCTAATGATGAAGGGCATTATTTCGACGAAGACCTGGATGATGATAAAGATTCACAACTTTCTGAAGATATTCCATATGAGCATGAAGCAGATGATTACATTCCTTCTCTTGACAAGACTATTGGTGATGAATTCTTACATCGGGTGTCAGGTATGTGTAAGGATATAAATGATGAGGCTGAAACTGATGAGGTTGAAACCAAGAATGGAGATGACAAACCAGTGTACCCTATCCATAATGAGAACCAGAAATGGGACAAAATGGTGCCAATTCTAGGTATGAGATTCTCTAACCCCATGGAATTGAAAAATTGTTTGACTAACTATGCAGTGAAGAATGGGTACAACCTTTATTTTGAGAAAAATGATAGTCAGAGGTTATTAGTGAGATGTTGTAAAGAGAACAAGAACCCCTCTTGTCCTTTTAGACTGTGGGCTTCCTGGATGAGCAGTGAAAGGTCTTTCCAAATTAAGTCATTAGTTGATGAACATAACTGTTCAAGAGTCTTCAAACTTGGTTCCATTGTAACATATAAATGGATTGGAATGCATTTTAAGAATCAACTTCTGAAGAACCCTAAAATGAGCATAAGGAAAATGAAGGCCAAAGTGAGTACAAAGTTTAACTTGATTGTTAGTGTCACTCAATGTAGAAATGCTAGGAGATATGCTTTGGATGAGATAGAGGGTAGTTTGATAGAACATTATGGTAAAGTATGGAGTTATGGAGAAGAAATAATGAGGACAAATCCTAGTTCAACAGTAAAGATAAATGTGAATGTCATGCCTGATTCCACAACCTACCTTTCTAAAATGTATGTTTGTTTTAAGGGTGTGAAGGATGGTTGGATTGCAGCATGTAGGAGGGGTAATAGGGGTAGGAGGGGTATATGTAGAGGCCAACTGTTAGCAGCTATGGGTAGGGATGCAAACAACCACATCTTCCCTATTGCATGGGCTGTGGTGGAAGTTGAAAATAAGGAAACATGGAAGTGGTTTCTTGACCTCCTTCTGGATGACATTGAAATGGGAATTGGTCATGGATTGACCCTCATATCAGACCAACACAAGGTATATTTCTGTTTTGTTTTGTTTAAGTTGAATGTTTTTGTTATGTCATCTATTTCATGCTTTCTTTCAGGGATTAATAGAGGCTGTCAAAGAAAGGGTTCCAGCAGCAGAGCATAGACAATGTGCTAGGCACATCTATGCTAACTTCAAGAAAAGTTTCAAAGGTGAACAATATAGGAAGTTGTTTTGGGCAGCAGCTGCTAGTACTACTCAACCAAAATTTGAGGCAGAAATGAATTCCATAAAAAAATTGATCCTTTGGCTTATGAACACCTCATGGAAAGGGACCCTAAAAGTTGGTGCAGGGCATTCTTTGAAGTGGACAGGGCTTGTGATGCTTATGAGAATGGCATATCAGAAAGTTTCAACTCTGTTATTGATCTTGCTAGGAAAAGGCCACTCATCACCATGTTGGAAGAGATAAGGATTTATGCAATGGAGAGGATGTATAAACTGTTGCAAGAGGGATAAAGTTGGGGGAATTTAAAAATATGTCCATCTATAAGGTTGAAGATATCAAAGCTAAAGAAACAACAAAGGTATGATATAACTTCTATTTTATAAATATTATATGTCTCATCTATAAGATTAATAGAACTTCTTATTTTTTTGGGCAGATTTTGGGGTGTTATACCATCTGGGATACAACAATATGAAGTTAGGATTGGAAATGATGGATATGCTGTGGACCTTAACAACAACACATGTGGATGTAGATCTTGGCAAGTATCAGGTATCCCATGTGTGCATGCAGTGGCAGCCATTTCATACCTTAACAGGAATGTAGAGGATTATGTTGCACCATGGTTCCATACAGCCATGTTCTTGACTTGTTACAACCATACCATTAACCCACTTAATGGTAGTTCCATGTGGCCTGAAGCTCCCTACATGAAGCCATTGCCTCCTCAAAAAAGAAGGTTACCAGGAAGGCCAACCCTTAAAAGGAAAAAAGATCAATCTGAGATGGAAAGCAAGGGGAAAACAAGGCATACTATCTCAAAAGCAGGTTCAGTTAATAGATGCAGTATTTGTAGAGAAAGGGGCCACAATAGATCAACATGTCCTACTAGACCAGCAGATGTAGCATCCACTTCAAGGCCAAAAAACAAGAAACCTAAAAAATGTAAAAAAGAGAAAGGTATGCTATTAAAACAATATAATTTAAATGGAACATCCAACTCATTAGCTACATATTTGTATAGCAGGTAAAGTGGAACCAATTCAAGTGGATCCAGTTCAAGCAGATCTAGTGGATCCAGTTCAAGTACCAGCTCTACAGGTTGATCCAGTTCAAGCAGATCCAGTAGATCCAGTTGATGTACCAGCTCCACATGTTGAACCAGTTCAAGTAGATGATCCACATCCAGATGTTGATGTCCCTGCTCAACCAGTTGCAACTAGGTAGAGGATACGAAAATACTCAGAAAGAATTACCAAGATAGGGTTGAGGAAGAAGGTTTTGAAGAAAGAAGGAAGCACTGGACACAACCCAATGGTGTTGGAATGATTTTATTTGGAAAGACAAACTTTTAGTCTTATAAATATGTAATTGGGATATTAGGACAACTGTGGGCACATGGCACATCTTTTGACATATTAGGACAACTGTGGGCACAACTTTTGTAATAGTGCACATGATGATGGAATATTACAACTTTGTCTTTTATCTATATGCTTTGGTGTACGGTTATTTGCATATAGATTGTTTAATCTTATATTATCTATCATAAATCAAGTAAATTTAGTATTACTACATTAAGCAAAGTTTGGTGTTGTTGTTGTTGTTAATCTGGACCATATTACCCTTGGTCACATCAACACATTAACAATTGATTACTGCCAAATTTAATATGGACCATTTTACCCTTGGATCACATCAAGACATTAACAATTGATTAATGCCAAGATTTAGTCTTAATACATTAAGAAATGTTTGATGTATCCAATGTGGTTAATCTGGACCATTTTACCCTTGGATCACATCAACACAATAACAATTGATTACTGCCAAATTTAATCTGGACCATTTTACCCTTGGATCACATCAACACATTAACAATTGATTAATGCCAAGATTTAGTCTTAATACATTAAGAAATGTTTGATGTATCCAATGTGGTTATTCTGGACCATTTTACCATTGGATCACATCAACACAATAACAATTGACTGCCAAATTTAATCTGGACCATTTTACCCATGCATCATGTCCAATTCATTAACCTTTTAAACATATTAATACTTCTTGGAAAGCACTCAAAACATCAAACTATCATTAATCAAAAAGATTTAGTCATAATACATCAAACAAATTACAACATTAAGGATTACATTTAGTCTTTGAATACAGCTAAACTAAGGGTTAAATTAAGGGCTAAACTACTTCTTAAACACAAACAACAGAAACAACACAATCATCACAACTTTATGAGTAAATAGCTTCCATTTGAGTTTTTCAAACTCTTGTCTAACAACCAAATTTTCTTGTTCCATCTTCATCTTACATATGCTGATCTCGTTTTCCAATATAGAAACTTTGAGGGTTAAATTGCACGGTTCTTTTTTGTCCTTCCCAGAATTGACTTCATTTTCAGGGGTTTCAGGCTCCAATCATTCCCAAAACTTGCATTTTGGTCCTTCATTCTTGAAAAAAGTAACAAATTGGTTAAAGAAAGAAGATAAAACGAAAAGTAAAAAACAATTGCTTTACCATGGAGTTAGGGCACAATCTGAATTTTTTTCCTGGATTGTCTTTAGTTCGTGAAGTTCATACACGAGATGGTAACCCACAGTAACAAGGATTTTCAGGTTGAAATTCAACATTTCGTTTGGAAGAAATAGAAGAAGAAGAAGAAGACATGTCGATCTAGGGCAAGAACGGGCAAGAAGATGCAGTACTTAACTTTGCAATTAATAAGCCCAGTTTATGGCACATAATGCCACGTAATATCCACATAACTAGTAACCTACAACAACCGGTATCAAGGGCTTTGGTGAACAGGGATTACAAGTGCAATGGTATAATAAAGACATAAAAAAGATAAGGGACCTAATGAATACAAGACGAATACTTTATTACCCTCAAAGGTCATTTTCCCTTGTAAAAATCGGTCCGAAATAACAACGGCATACTGATAGATTTCTATCAAAAAAGGACTTACGACATAAAATATGATCACCGTACGGAGATTACTAATACAGCTTAATAGTTTTGAAATTTATTTTCTAACTAGGTGTGAGATCCATGTATTACATGGGTTTAATTAAAAAAAAATAAAATTTTAATAATTTGAATAGTTTGAATTTATAAGAAAAATAAGAAAAATTTTGAATTATTAAAATTAATGAGATTTTAATGTATTGAATACATTACATATATAAACTATTTCTAATAAGTACTTTACATATATATTACCTTACATATTAAATGTGAAATTTTAATTTAATAAAATGAAAAATACAATAAAATGACAAGTGGAAAATAGAAAATTTAAAAATTCTAGAAAATATCATGTATCCAAATGAATGAGAAGAGGACATGTGGCAAAAAGACTTTCATTTATTATAGTAGATATGTGTCCTAAGTGCATACATAATGCACATATAATAAATATTAATTATGAAAAATATTACTATAATTAAATGTAAAATGAATTAATTATGGTGATTATTAATGAATTTTATATTTAATTTTGGTAATATTTTTTATAATTAACTTGTTTAACATTTAATTATAGTAATAATTATGATTAATTAATATTTCTTATATGTATCCTTAGAGCACATATTAAAAAATCTCAATTTAATAATAATAGTAATAATAATAATAATAATAATAATAATAATTACCATCAGTATTATTATTATATATAAGAAAAACTCATTAATATTAAGATAATATTCAACACATAATAGATTGACTATCGATAATTATATTAATGATTACGATTAAAAAGCAGAAAAGATTATTTTTAAAATAATAAGTGACAGTAAATAACGATAGAACAGCGACAAAAACCATATTATTCTAGATTATTTTTCGATAAGCTAATACATTTAAGGAAAATGATTTGTGAGAGTAGTTACTTTTTATCTTGTTCACATTTAGGTAACTTCATTTGTTTTTTTACACATTTACCATCTAACTTGTTAAATGTGTGTATATATTACCATTATCACCTGCTATTGGTAATAATAGTAATATGTGCACGTATTTAACAAATTACATGGTCAAATGTGTAAAAAAAATTATTTAAATATCAATATTTTTTTTACAAATTTCCTAAATTTTTTTTTTATAATTGCTTACAATATTTTTATGATATTTTTTTCGTACAACTTTCATATAATTTTAATATAAATGTTTTTAAACCAAATATTTTGTAAATGTTTAAATTTTTTCTTACAAGTATTTAACATTTTTTTACATTGTCATACAATTTTTTTATAACTTTCATAAATTTATTTCTAAACTTTCTTTTACAATATTTTTAACGTGTTTCACAGATTTTGTATGATAGTTTAATATTTTTTATAACATTTTAAAATATTTTTATTAAATATTAAAAGTTTATAAACTTATAATTAAAAAATATTAAAAAGTTGGAATACTTATAAAACATTTACATTATATATATATATATATATATATATATATATATATATATATATATATATATATATATTGCTAAGTAATATTTTCTATTTATTTTTTTAAAAGACACTTCATACTTATTGTTACATGTTTAACTTTTTTTAATTTTATTATTAGATACTATTTACTTTAAAAATATTGTATGTAACACCCCGTTCTTTAAGTGTTTAATTATAAGTCCCTGAGATTTAAGAGGAATGGTAATTCTGGTCCTTTTGCGAGAAATGAGTTTCATTCGAGAAGGTTTCGGGCTGGTGTATGTGTTAGAAGCATTTGGGCTTCTCGTCACCCCCGTATGAATGTAAAGTTATTTGGGAGCGGGTTTAGATTAGAGTAGTTGCGGTGTTTTGAAGTTGATCATTGTTTATAGCTCTTTTGTGGTATAAGTGGATAAAGGGTCCCATGCATGCATGGCATGCATGCAATTATTGGTGAAGTCTGGCTGGGTACGCCCAACGTAAAGGGGCGAAAAGTTGCAGGTGGTCGGGTGATTACGCCCAGCGTACCAAGAAAGTACGCCCAGCGTACTCTCAGAAACCCCAAACCCTATTTTAGGGTCAACCACTATATAAGGAACATGTTGGTTCACCCCTTAGCCTCCTTATGCTCATCTTCAACCTCAAAGAAACCCTAGATCTCGTGTTCTCTCCATTATTGGGTGTGTTTAACCTTGGAAAGCTCTTTTTGGCAAAAGAAAGGTTTGAAGGAGAAAAGAGAAGTTGTCAAAGAAGAAGAAGAACGTGTGGAGCTTCTAGATCTGAAGTGATACCATCCTTTGGAGCTTGTTTGAGGTATAAAGCTTCTTCCTTGACCTTCATATTGTATAGATCTATGTATTTTGAAGCTTTGTCACCATCCTTGTCCCAAAAGTCCTCACCTTGTTGCATATTTCGACTTGGTCAAGATTATCTACCCTTTCAGACCTTTGGAGAGGTCTTGAGTGAGAAAAATGAGGTCCCAAGGGCTGTAGTTGTTCCATGTGTGAGATATATAGGTCTTAATGCATTAAGACCTTGGATTAAGAGCTTAAGGACGTCCCAAGTGATAAAGTCTGAGACTTTATGAATTCTAATCATATTTGGCCTATGGATCTGAAGTTTAGGCTTAAGAGCTTAAGCCATTAAGAGGTTAAAAGGACTTAATGAGCATTGCAGTTACGGCCCGCGTAGCGGGCCAAAGCCCCGATCCTCATTTGTGTTTCATTGCAGTACGCCCAACATACCAAGGAGGGTACGCCCAGCGTACTCCTCCTGTGGGACTTTCATTTTTGGGCTTTGAGTTTGGGCCGTTGATGGACAATTGGTTATTGAGCCAAGTCTGGGAATTTATGGATAGAGTATTTTGGGCCCAATTATTATTATGGACATTGGTTCTAGGCCCATTTGGTGAAGTGGGCCCAATCTGGTAAATTGGGCCAATGTTCGACTTGGTATGAGATCTGGACTTTGGTCTTGGCCCGATAAGTGGAAGTATGATTGACCTAATGCTTATTTTGTTATGTTGGTTAGTTCGGGATTTGCAGTGAGATGGTGGTTCGAGAGTCTGCTTCTTCAGTTCAGAGTATCGGCATTTGCGAGGTGAGTTATCCTTACTATATTGACAGGGTCTAAGGCACCAAGGCTGGCCCTTCATTGGATTGAGATTCGGATATGGTTGTTATGTTATTGCTTTGATATGTCTGCATCCTGGTAGCTAGGATGGTATATGCTAGAGACCTGGTTAAGGTCGATTTTCCGATTTGTAGAGTGATGTTATGCTAGTGACCGGTTAGGTCTGTATCCTTGTTAGGGTAATGATATGTTATGTGATCTGCTTGATCGGTTTGTGGATTATGAACTGTTATATGATTGTATGTTATGTGCACATGGTTGTTTGGAGTGGAGTTGGGTTGAGGCGGGTCCTGCTTTATGATGTAGGCCAAGATACCTAGGGCGGACCGGTTGTTCCGAACGCCCAGTGAGCGGTCCGGATAGGCTGTAGGCCCCACGAGGGC